ACAACGATTTCTCTTCAAGTAGGTTCCATAGTACTATATTGACAACGATTTCTCTTCAAGTAGGTTCCATAGTACTATATTGACAACGATTTCTCTTCAAGTAGATTCCAGATGTTATTAGTGGTGAGTTCTCTTCTTTAAACATGCCACAGTATCTTATCAACCGGAGGATTTTTTCTAGAAGATTCTAGGGTATCTAATTAATGAGGTGCGACTCCAATATTTTAAAAATATACGCAACGGAAGATCGGGGGGTGAAGCTATTTGGTTTTATGCTTTACTGATCTTGAAAACTTGGATTTTATTTAAAGAAAGTTTAGTGACCAATAATTTTTTCTTTCTTTCCTCGTTATAATCTTCTCATAATCTTATATTATGTTCTTCTTCTTTCTTCTTCATCGGGATTCGGTCCATGTTTTGGATCAGAGAGGGTCAAGTTCAGATCTATTTTGATATTACTCAATTTTTGCTTACTTTAAAATGCGCACACACCTTACTATCTAACTGCGCATGCGCGCACACATCATTTCAAAGGATCTAAATGTAAATATACTTTAGTAGAAATTATTTTCTGCAGCATGTTAAAAGTTTGTCAAAGTTTTCGAAAAGGTTTAACGTTAGGTCTTAGAATAAATAATATTATAAGTTTATTTATTGATAATTTTAAGTACGGTAAAATTTAGCCATAAACTAAACTAAAGCGTGTATTTGAAGTTAATCACAAAGCTACACTATAGGCTATCTGTGCTCTGCCAACCACGGGTATCGAAACCCAGTTTCTAGTGTTGTAAGTCTGCAGACACTCCGCTGTGCCACTGTGTAGCCTTGCAGGAAATTCAAATCAAAACAAACCTACCGAATATAAGCTGTACTTAATAAAGGGTTAACTAATGTTAAGCCTAAGACAAGTAGGCTTATAGATTTCGGAGTCTGCGATTAGTTCTTTTGTATTATTCCAGAAATCCTGTATTTAAAGAAGTACTATTGGAATCAAGATATTAAGATGCGGATTTGACCACGAATGTTTTGCGATTCTTTGCTAGTATATATACATACATATATATATATTTATATCAATGAACTATACGCCAATATGTATTCTTGGTAATGGGCTCAGCACCCATCTAATGAACTGTGACTTGTCTTCCTTACGAGCCATGCGACTACGATAATTCGTTTCTAGTGATTGTTTCAAAGCTTAGTTTTGCCTTATGGTTAACTAACTTCAAGCTCTGTCTATATCTGCCCAATGTATAGTTTCAAAATGTAAGGCATTTTATATTAAGTATATTCTAAAAGTAATTTAGAGTAAATTTGAAGACAAAATTTGGTTTCAGTCGTCCGCTTCGAGAGTAATTGAGGTTTAAAAATTGAAGAATCATTAATTAAAAAAACATATAAAAAGTTAAAAAATAAACCCACAATTTAAAAAAAGAAATTTAAAACTGGTTCTTTACGAAAAATGATTAACTAAAGATTACCGTATTTGCCAATATAATGCGCAATTATTTTCCTCCAAATGTTTCCCGAAAAATTGACTGCGCATCATATTCGCGCACGTTCAATTTTGTTAGGTAATTTACTAGAAGCTACCACAGAAAATCATTAAAGCATCATTAAAGGTTTCAAAAAATGTTGCATATCCAATGCAATGGATGGGACGGATGATGACATGCTGTGGGAATCAGAAGAGGATGAAGCAAAGGTTCAAGGAAGCAATGATGAAGATTTATGTGAAGATGAATGAGTAGCTTAGTGTATTACCACACATAAACTTTTCAGTAAATTTTGTAAAATTGACACGTAAAATAAATTTCAATGAAGAATTCCAAAAATGTTTACATCGATAGTTGTTTACTGTATTTGAAACTATTCAATACATTTTGTACAACTAATATGTAAAAAAACAAAACAATTCTTCAATTTAACCTTTCAAAATTGGATGCGCATTATATTCAAGCAAATACGATAAATTTGACATAAACAACAAAATAAACAACTAAAAAGCAAAGAAGTATCGAAATATTTGAAATGCAGAAAGTTTAAATAGAAAACATGCTGCGCCGAACATGACACAGAAGTCAATGTGCCGGGCTGTGGATCAGAGGATCTATGCTTCGCGTCCCGTTATGACACACACACAAAATTACCCTCCGCATTTTGGGGCCGTGTTCGCGTTATAAGAGTGACGGTCAAGTCTCACTATAATGATTAGAGTACCTGACGCTGAGTGCTGTTGATTAACTGCCTTCATCCGGAGATGGCCAACCTAAACATCCCTTGTGTAATTTTTCACGAATATCTGAAACAAGCAATCAACAAGAAAATGTTAGGCCTAAAATTTGTGATAAAAATCACGTAAACTGCAGATTCTTTTCCACACATTTTTCTTACTTTGTCCGTTTCAGATTCAAAATCAGAAGAGTGTAAAACTAGCATTTCAGAGTTTTCTTTTGTCTCCCACAAGTCACTACCCAAGAAGCCTTTAGTTCAGTACCAGTTCTGAAACGTTATTTTTGCATGTTTCTGGTTTTCAATCGGAAATGAACAAAAGTAAGAAGAGTGTGATAAAAACATATTTAGTTTAGGAAACTTTCGTCACAAATTGTAGGCTTATTGGTTTCTAACTTTGGCGTTTTACATGGTGGTTGGATGAAAGGTATGTTTGTTTTGAATTTCGCGCAAAGCTACACGAGGGCTATCTGCGCTAGCCGTCCCTAATTTAGCAGTGTAAGACTAGAGGGATGGAGGCTAGTCATCACCACCCACCGTTACCAACGACTAGTGGGATTGATCGTCACATTATAACGCCCCCACGGTTGTAAGGGCGTGCATGTTTGGTGTGACGGGGATTCGAACCCGCAGATTGCGAATCGAGTGCCCTAACCACCTGGCCATGCCAGGCCTTGTTGAAAGGAGTCGAATACACTGGATGATAACTGGCGATTTGAGCAATGAGAATTGTTTATAATTCAAAGATTTTGTTTATCAATTCATATTTAAGAGAAAAAATCTTCGATTTGGAGAATGAATTTTTGTTCTTACCGGAATCTAACTAGTCGACAAATAACGCTTTGACTTCCTATATAATCTTATAAACATAAACTTTGATTTGTTTTTATAAAATAGGACTGAGAATATGTCACGAGAACGTCATTTTGTTAATTAACATAACCTGTATTGTTAGTGTATGGTTGGTAAATGTACATACTGGGAAACATCTGGCATTAGAGACGATTCCAGTGTGCGGGAAATGATAAACTTGTTAAACAACAGAAATAGCATACAAATTTCTCTAAGAATATAGTACATAGTATAGAACTATTTTCCTTATTTAACGATACGAAATATTCAGTAAAAGTTGCTAGAGAAAGAGGTTATACTTTTTGTTTTTAATCCATGTTTAAAAAAACAACAACACAAAACGATGTGGTATGTGATATAAAATAAACCTAATTAATATAAAATATAATGCAAGATAAGTAAGTATCGACATTGATACAAGTCGAGAAAGAGCTTCAGCAAAATGTCACTGTGGTATGTCATCAAACAGGAAAATCGTGCCTGTGATTCTGCAAGTAGCTGTGGGCCATCTTCTCAAATGCCTGCAAAGAAAATAGGGCATAATTAGTGCAAACTTTCTCCACCATAGTATTTCAATTTAAGAATGAATTTTTTTTTCAGAGATTTTCGAAGGAAGTGGCTAGTTAGCTCGAACTAGATTTCAGCCTTGTTAAATAATAAATTCAACAACTATCAACCATTTAGTTTTACAGTCAATGGAGACAATCATATTCAAGCTCCGGTTGTTACTGGTCAGCTGGTGAAAATAGTAATCTAGTAACGAGATATTGGAGTTTGAATCTCAGTTTTAAATTCTCAGAAACACAGAACTCTGTAACGTAGTTAATGTGTAAATAATGGTTGCCAACATTAATTTATTTATCAGCCCAACATTGGCAGAACGTTGAATAAATGACGTTAGCCAATAATATTCTAACTTTTATTATTCAATACCAAGATAGCACATCAATGTTGGTCCAATTTAAGCAGCCATTTTGTTTAATTACCCAGGCCTGCGATGGTTTTATTGTCTAGAAATTGTTACATGTTCTACAGTAATTCCTGTACGTGGAATTCGAAAGTGATATCCATTTTTATTCATCACGTACAGATTTTTCACAAAACATCATATGTACTTTTACTTAAGTGAATCATTTTCATTGAAATCGGGTCACATTTTGTTATGCTTAAAATGTTGACAACCACTGGTTATAGATTTCTCTAGACCAATAGCGACGTGAGAGTTTTATCGATCGTTCAAGAGAAACACACCGCTAATATATAAACAGTTAACAGGCCGCATGATATGTCATTTCTGTATGGTTGTGCGTGCACTTTGACACTAGTTTTCCTTTCAATGTTATTTATTCGTCCCTATGGCAACAAGAGGTTGTGTAAATGACCCAAACATATTCTGTTATATTTGTGGTAATTTTTTGGTAAATCTGATCTAAGTAAGTTAGTTTTTTTTTCATCCTGATTTAGTAAAAAATCCTTACTTGGTAAGAAAAAAATTAATATTGTTTTCCAAATCTGCGTAGCTGAATTATAGTAAAAGCCGTTAATTAAAATAAAAACAACGTTTATGAAGTTTAAATTCGCAGGTCTGTGTTATTGGTCTAACAAATGATCCTTTTTTGTCGGATATTGCATTGTTTTATAACCATTTATGGAATGCTGCTATTTGATAAAATTTAAATAAAATATTAACCAGTACTGTTTATTTTTTAATTTTGCTCAATTCTACTTCTTGGTTGCTCTTGCCAGACTTGGTATTTCACCGTGCTTGAGCTACGGGTTTCAAAGCTGGCAACCCGGGTTCAAATACCACAAATTATTCCCTGCACCCACAACCCCAGAATACTGGGAATATTTCATGTTATCTCACGGATTAGAAATAGCTCGCCAGTTTTGAAATTCAGAGGTCTATCACGCACTCAAACCTCCCTCACCGCGAGAATAAAATATCAAGTCATCGTTATCTTAAACTTATACATTATCTGTTGCTATGAACGACTTATGATCCACAGTCCGTCTGTTACTTTAGCATAATAAAACTTACAAATACATTATCAGTCAGTAGTAGTATTCATTAATTTCACAGCGTAGAACAGTGACCTCTACAATAAACTATACGTGAAAAGTGTAAACAGTTAAAACGTGGATGCTTATGTTGGGACAACGATAACCTGTATTTTTAATTTTCCATTCTCCAATCTTCTGTTAGAAAATTGGAAAATGTTATGCCAGACACGTTAGAAGCGAGTGAAGACCATTATATTTAAACAATATTTGTAAATAGTAATCAATTAAAATATTAGATTTAAAGGAATTAACTGAATGAAATATCACAGGTGCAGCTACTTAGATTAATATTTTATTAGTATATACATTAGCGGCCATAGGGAGATACAGTGGTTTGAGTACTTTATGTTAAAACGACTGTCAATATGCAAATAACCAAGTCACGTGACAGATACAGCCAATATGAAGACGTGGCGGAACGGAATGTATCATAACTACATTTCGATATAGTTTGGCGTTACGTAGGTAGTGTGATGCCATCGAAAGTCGATCCTTTTTGGAAAGTGTATGTAACAGTCCTTTACACGCAAAATATTCATATACTCAGATCATAAAGATGTGTTAAGATTGGTGGTTTAGGATTTCGAAAACGAGGATATCTCTTGTACTTAATGGCGTTTGCAAAAAAAATACTATTGGTTAAATTAAAGAACAGGACAATCCACAAAGAGACCTACAACAAATCGTATCCCAGCCATGGTAAGCAAAGTGTGGCATATTGTAAAAGGTGAGAATCCACGAACACAAATGTCAGTAGGAAAATTAGCCTAGTTGTCCCAGGCAACAATAGGCAATATAAAATCATGAAGGATCTCCATCTGGAAAAGTGACACAAGTCAGGTGTACATAAGCTACTTCCACCAAATATATATTCAATTATTATATACCTCAATGAAATGGAAATTCATGCTTCTTCATACCTGTTGAAACGTGCTTTGGAAAGCTGTCGTCTTCGTACACTATATGGATCATGGAAAGCCTGCGGAGATGAATGACATGCATTGGACATGAAAACCTTACAATGTAGCCTTTTGTAATGAAACTATGTTACAGGGCTATTGCCAAGATGTTCTGTCATTGAGATGTGGAGACATGGGCTGTAACGACGTCATGAGGCACTAAAATCGTTTTAATATAATGTACTCAACCTTTGTGTTAGAAGTTGTGAAACGAATATTCTTGTTGTATGATCACAGAATAAAACTAAAACGTTTTCAAAGCAAACAATCACTTATCGTTTTTCCATGCTTAATATACCTCAATTTCCGCAAGAGCTCTGGGGTCTATTTCCGTTCTTAGCATTCCTTTACTTTTCTTTCTGTTTTCTTCTTTTCTGTTTCTCTTATTGTCAGTTTTTAGAGGCCGGACATGTGAAGTCCCACAACTACCTTCAGAGCTCCTGCTGTCAGTACTAACGGTTTTTACTAATCGTTGTTTTCTCAGAACCTGTTCTTGGAGGTTCGTAGAATTCAAACATTTATCATCTATGTCTTCTGTAGTTGAAGAACGAAGAGAGAAATTTTGTGTATCTCTGTGTGATTCTGTCGGTAGACGTTCCACAGACTTATGTCTTCGCTGAGACCCGAGTCGACCTCGAATTTGAGAGTCTACAAAGCTTCCGAGAAGCCTTAATGGACCTCTTCTGTTTTTCATGGAAGACATTAACGAATCTAAGGTACGGTCTCTTGGAGTTTTCTCTGGCTGAAAAGTTGCTTCACGACCTATAGGTATTTCTGTTGTTTGGGATCTATTTAGTAACGGAACTATCAAATAAAAAAATGGTAACATTGAAATAAACTGTAAGGATTCGTGGAATTAATATACTAGGACTATTTTTGTTCTTACTCAGAAATGAAACATACATTTATAAATTAACGTTAGTTTAAATTGTTGTAAAATGAGCAAATCAGTAACATCATTAGTATATGTTACTCTCATGTAGAAAGACAGTATATACTTATATATATTAGTGTAGTATTATTAATGAGAAATATATTTTATAATAAGTGATCCGTAAGAAGTTAGCCTACAAGCAACTTTCAGACACTAAACCTTTACTCACGTGCAAATTGTGATTGAAAGAGCTGATCATTTCTTACAAAATTTCTTTTAGATTGGAGAGAATCCATAAATTTCGCTGGTTTTGATTTCCCATGTACTCTTCGACAATCCTCTTCAGACTTTGACACTTCATGGTCCAAATACCAGGCTTTTTTGCCATGTTGATCAATGACTTTAAACGTTGTTGAATCTGATAGAGGTCGCTTTTTTACTTCTGGATCATTGATGTCCTCATGACTAATGCTTAACTTCTGCAATGTTTCCTCGGCTTGTTTTTCAACCGAGCCTAAACTGCTGTCTATCTTTTGCAAGGTCATCTTAAGCTCTCGTAGTTGTGTTTCCAGGTGGGGTACTTCATGTATTGTAGCTGGTCGATTGGATTTTTTGGAATTTACGTACAGTTGTTTCCGAAGGGTGTCCATCTAGAACAAATAAATATTATATAATATATCTACTTTAACACATTTGTTTGCGTTTTTAACAGAGGATAAAATTATGTGAGGACTTTTTTATGGGCTGAGGAAAGTTCGATTTGATGTGAAGTAACGTTCCGAATCATAAGTCGTAGAACATTGCAATTACCGTCTGCAAAATTTCACAAACTGTCAAAATGATTTAGTTTTTTTTTAATACATTAACTTTTGTCAAGCTAATCTGACAACTTATTCTCATTATGCGCAGCAGGGGACTGGACATTACAACCACTTTTTAATCTTCTATGTTGAGAACTAAAATCATGAAATTTTGAAAATGTAGCGAGCATTTCGTGATTTTTATTGCGAATGCAAGAATAATAAATTTTGAAAATTCTCAATATTTTCAAGACAAGCATGAAACTTAACATGTGACGATTCAGTTTGTTAAGCATGGCCAACCTCGTCAGATGTTATTGGATTTAGGGCTGAAATCATTACTAGCAACGAGGATACCCAACTGATAGTTTATTGCAGAACGGTTATGAAAGAGTTTGCCTGTTTATAAAGTTAGTGTTTGTTTTGGAGAATCTGTTGTTGGAAGTCATCATATAGCTGTTGATTTCAAACTCACATCACATTCCGACAATCATTCACTATTTGTAACTAAAGTGAAAGTTGACTTTTTATAATTTATCTTCAATGTAGAAACTTCTAATATACCTGAAGTCAAGAATAAAGATAAAAATATCCATACCTTAAGCTGAGTTGAAATCCTTCGTTGTCTTAAGTTGGTGACTCGACGCATCACAACGTCCTGGTCGCTAGTTGATGTCTCGCTAATTGGCCCTGTTGGTTTCATCTTCTGTTCCTGTTCATACAGGAAAAGCCAGTTTGGGTAAAATCTTGTCGAAAATATGGCACTGTTATCATATGAAACTGTAATACATCATATTAAACAATAGAATCCATACATGTACTAGAAAATATAGTAAACCAGATCGTCTTCTCTTTAATTGATTTTCCTAAATTACACCAACTTTTCTTAAAATTAGAATATTAAAAGAAACCAAACATCCTGTTCAACTCCTTTTAAATAAAGTGAAAACCAGAATTGGCTGATAAAACTAGGCTGCATACATGCACGACGAGATAGGGGTATAATAATACCTCCAAACACGCAAGTAATGTTCCATAGTGTATTATGGGTGTTATCACCATGACATACACTGAAGCACAAAAATTAATTTTTCCCTCTAGAACATATGTGGCACTAGCTAAAACAGCCACACGGTGGCAGTACAGACCTTAAATTATAGAAATTCTACTATTTGGCTCAAATCTTTATCAGGCATGATAAATAAACATGATATTAGTATAGCTGACACTATTGTTGCTGTACCACATTCAAATGTGAATGCATGGCATACCAAACATTTAATATTGCTAGTTGAGAACTGTTGTCTTATCGTACAGACAGTAAATCAGCTAGCTCCAGTCTGGGACCAGAGGTCCACGGTTTTCTGTCTCTCATGTATTTACAGTTTGTGGCCAATTTCTTCACAATAGCTAAACTACCGCCTACAATGGCTAAGCCGATGTGTTGTGTGTGTGGTGCATGGACCTGAGCAAGAATTTCAGCATGAAAAGTGTGTTTTCAATGAAACACTGACTTATTTTTGTCAAGATTTGTCCATTCACTCTGGTTACTGTTACCAATGATAGTGGAAGTGAAGCTGTTTTGTTAGAATTACAGGATGATATGGATAAATCACAAATATCAACAGGACATTAACAGAATCTGAATGTCAATACTGTATGACGATAAAGGAATTGCTTGCAGCTGTAGCATTCGTTAAACATTATTATTAATGTTTGTATGACAGAAAAGCCATCTTTAAAGTGAACCATGCATCACTGAAATGACTGATGAATTTACAAAATACAGTATGCATGGTTGAAAATTTATGCTGTAAGAGCACAACTTCGTTGTGTAACACCATTTGAGTTAATTTAAATAAATTAATTGGTTAATCCATACGTCTAAACGAAAGTTAATATTTTGGAACTTTCAGGCAGACGCCCTTCATCAGGTAGTATATATAGTGTTACAGTGAAGTTAGTTTAGGAAAAAATCATTGATGGGTTAGAATATACAAAATGTCTAATTGCAGGAGTGATTCATATAACATATTAAATAGATATTGTTTATTGGGGATGTCGCTGGGAATCTCTTGTAAATATGAAAATAGAAAGAAACTTAACAAATTTTACCAGGTATTAGAACTAGTTAAAGGATTATTGGAACTACATAAATATGATTTTAAAAATAATAATCATGAATAAATAAATATATATCTGCACGAAAATAAACAAATAAGATGGCCTGTGACAAAGGAACGCTTTCACCAAGGCATTGTTAGAAGAAAAAAATTAGCATAGGAGTAATTCTAAGGTAATCTTTTTTAGAAAAGGTTGTAAAAATTAGATAAAAACTATTCGAAAGTAAATGTTTCATGAATTTCACTGAGGAATTGTTTGTTGTTAACCACAAACTACACGATGGGCTGCCCGTAACCTTCCCATCGCAGATATAAAAACCTGATTTTTAGTGTTGTAAGCCATCAGACTTATCACTGGAGGGGGAAAGAGCATGAGGAGGAGAAAATGTGTTCATTTGGAAGATGAGGCAATAACCAAGACTTTCTCATGTTAACTTGTCCTGAGTAATGTTTCATGATGTTGGAAGGTCTCATACAAATCTAAGGTGTTTAAAATCAGTTGTTCCTAATTGGATAGCATGTTAATATTAAGGATGTGCTATAGGTTTTGATATCTACTGTTGTGTTTTTTAATTTGTGCTTTGTACGTAGTAATGTTTGCTTTTTAATAATATCTACAGAGTATCCATGTTGTTTAAAAAAATCCTGTTATCTCAGTTGCCATGCAATCAAACCTTTGTTCTTCAGAATACAAATGTCTTAGTCTTGTCTACTGTTCTTTGGGAATAGCATTTTTTGTTACATAAGAGAATAGGGGAAGAAAGAATAACAGTCTAACTAAGCGTGATTCTTAATATCTTTCTTTTTATTGTACTGTGGTATAAGTGAGTCAATATATATATTAATACTAATTTCGGCCATACACAAACACTAATGGATCACCTCACCAGCTGTAAGTATGTTCATTAATTTGAATGCCCAGATATTTGATATTGTGCTAATTTAAAGCCATTGCAGAAGCAGTAACTGTCAGAAAATAATTTCGCCAATTGTCAGTTAAAGGCTTTTACTTATACTTCTTAATAGCATAAATATATATTGTGTTGTTGTTGTTGTTGTTGTTGGACTTAGGATTACTCTACAGTAGGTGTCTGTGACTTGGTGGCGATAAATTCAAAACTAAACGAACAGCACGCGCTCCACTTGTTTTCAAAATAATGTATATATATATATTCGAACAAGTTAAACGTATGTACAACAAATTCTTTACACAATAGAAAACATAGATATGTCTTAAACACTATGTATATATATATATATAATTCTCTTCTTGATGTTAAAAGTCCACTTAGGCTCATTAAACTGCTTTAGAATTTCAGTTGACAAGCCGAACTACCTTTCTCTCTTTCTATCGCACTAGTACTCCGTGTATAATTAAGTTATGATCATAGCGTGAGTTACCACAGTCGTATATTGCTCTTCCAGTAATCGTCTCGTCCTCGAACTTCAGATATCGTCTGTTCTTTTGTGAAGGTGCACTCAGGCTGGTTCAATTACTTTAGAACTCGTTTTGACGAAATAAACTATACTTTGTATATCTTTTAAAACTTTTAGTTTTACTCTAACATATTAATCGTTAGGCCTTTCATTACTACGACAATTAACTTTACGTTTAACTTTCCTTGGCCGAACTTCCACTTTCCGTGACTTTACTTTCTCGTCTGCTCTGCCCGTCTCGCACTATTTATATCTTTATCACTTAATCGTCTGCCTACCATCTAGAACTATCTATATTCTCGACATCAGTGTATTGCACGCGACGTTCGATAATCTCAACATCAATGAATTATTAACACAACATACAACAATCGTCTGCTTTTAAATCTTTTATTATATATAAGCCAACAACAACAAAACAACCATAAAATATTAACTCACAAAATAACTTAATTAATACTATCTACACTAAACAGTCTTTTTTATCCTGACAGTAACAAAGAGCCATTTGTGGAGGAACAACTGTGCTTGTGGATAGATACAGCAAGCAACCTCTCAGTAAATCAACTGAAGGACCCAGAGAAAGCTTGGGTGCTACTTGTCATGCAACACAGTGAACCATGACTGGCACTCACATACTTAGCTATGACTTCAGGATAGTGGTACCACTAATTATAAACCATCAAAATATTGTAACCAACTCGTCATGAATCTAATGGTCTCCATAGCTCTAAGGGAAGACATGCTTTGGATTTTGGCACAATACAAGGCCACCAGACAGTATCATGCATCGTTGCAAAAATGTGGAAGGTTTTTTTCTAGTTACCCTTATGTAAAGACATTAAAGGATAGTACTTTGCTACAAGTATTGACCAATCAAAAAAGGAAGCACATAAGGGGGAACATTCTAGCTGAGAGTTGCAGGTTCTCCCTTGCACTGAATCACTTGGTTATAGTTGTCTCTGTACCAATAACTGATAAAGGTGACCAGTATGTGAAAATAATTAATGATTACTCCACCAATGGGCCAAAACTTATCCATTGCTCATTATGTTAGAGCAGTATGCCTCTATGGTGGTGACATGATTTGAAGCACTTGGACAAATATACATGAAACACTAAATAACTTCAATACCCAGTTGTGTATCATGCTAGGGTTGATGAAAACGTACATTTGAGTGTCCTCAATCTGATAGTTTGGTTGAACAGGAAGCATAGATTTTCAAGTGAATAATATCCAAGCTTCTGAATTCTGAGTAAATTCTTTGGGAATGAACAACTGTTTTATATCAAGATAGCATATCATGTAGTTGCTCAACAACCAATTTATATTTCATTGACTTAGATGAGAAGTACATATCCCATTGGATCGGATGTATGGCTCTCCACTTAATTTAGATGTTGCACAGTGTCCACAACAAAGATGTTGAGTGGCTGCATTCTACAATAGTTGATGCAAATGTGCCTCAGAAATTGAATAAATCAGCTGTATGTTGTAAGAGGTATTATGGAAGAACGGTAATAGAGTGAAAGTTTGAATAAAATGACAGGGGTATGGCTATAATATGTACCTACAGTGTGTAGCAGTTCATTTCTGGCTAAACTGGCCCATATATTGTGAATTGATAACTGAATGAGGTTTACTCCTCAGTGTGGAATCCCGTAGAAATAATTTATCTATACAATGTACATTCATTGAGAACCAAATATCCACCCACTTTTTTGCTGTCCATGGCAGCTCATGAAGAGAATGAGAAACATTTGGTGCCTGTTACTGGAATACACCACTATGGTCTTGAATCTTTGTGATGACTACCTCAGGATCATTTGGCTGGTGAATTGTGGCTAGGGTTAACCGAGCGCCGATATCAGATGTTCTCAATGGGTATTGTGGTCATTATGTTTAGTACTGGTGAATGGGTATGGCGTCCATGAAACTAACTCTGCACTGCTGCAATATCCTTATTGTGTTGATCCTTTGACAGTTCATTGCACTACCTTGTAGGGCTCCATGGTGGGTGGGGATAGTAAGCAATGAATAATCTTATTTCAATCTGTGAAGTGTATTTTCTCAGATACCACTCTTTCTCTCTTTAGCACCAGAGAACATACCTATTTCCATGTTCTGAGCCAGAAATATATTGTCATTGAT